ACACGAACTATGAGGTCAGAAAAAAAGAAAAAGTACAGTTCTTTCAAAAATCCGAGAGGCGTATAAACAAGACAAGATATCCGATGCTGCCAATTAGGACTCGCATGGTGTACTCCATTATGCATACATAATGACGAAAAAAAAGGACAAAGGAAAAAGGAGACCTATTGTCCCATCATATCTTAGTCCCTTTCGTTCTGCATCTGGTGTTTTATCTTTGGGCTTGAATGAACTAATAAGGAGGTCCCACGTCCCGCACTTCAACCTGAGAAGTCTGAGTGATCTGAGCAGTGAGATTGAAAAAGTTAACTTACGATGTAAAAAGTCAGACGGCCTCATGGTCTCGGCTCGCACATACGACATAAAAGAAATGTTCACACAATTGCCTCACAACGAGTTTTGCCTCGCAGTCGAATGGATAGTCAGTCTGTTCGAAGAACGAGGTATTCGATGGTTCAGATTTAACACTCGAAAAAAACAGGTGACGTTTGGGAAATCTCACGGAGAGGCTGGGTGGAAGTTTTGAAGGCTGCGCAAATTGGTCACTTTAACAAATTTCTAATTAAATAACACCTTCTTTCTCATTACAAACATTATTCTGAAGCAGAAAAAAGGACTCCCTATCCCTATGGGAGGACGGGCAAGTCCACCACTTGCCTGTATTATGTGCATGTTTGGTCGAGTCTAAGTTTATCCGGTCCCTTGGATCCGAGGCGAGGCTCATATCCGGAAAACGGTACATTGACGACCTTTTGTTGTTCTCCTTCTATTACAAGAATGATCCAGAAGGAGAGAAAAATGCAGAAGAACAGCTTGAACGGATTTCCTGTTGCTACCCGGTTGAGTTAACAGTGGAACGGACAGACCCCGGGATCGTGGTTTTTGACTTCTTGGAAACACGAATCGTGGTCACAAACAACGAAGTTGCTGTTCTTGCTTCCCACAAATTCAAAAATGTTGGAACCATCTGGTCCTCTGGTTGCCTGCGCTTACGAATATATAAAGACTTCCTATCTTTTGGGCCAAAAACGCGAAATTCGCTACCGTGGCAAACACTATCTTAAGGATCTCACTCAATTGCAGTAACGAAGGCTTGATATGTTGTGCGGTGCTGTCTTTGGCCGAAGAACTTAGGAAGCTTACTTACCCGACAACAATTGTCGTCGCAGGCCTGCAGTGGATGCAGCGGCGGGATCCAGTGCCATTGTGGGGGAGTCTCATGGATCTGATAAAAATGCTCTACGATAGTTAAAACCTGTTTTTGCCGCAAAGTTGCCCTCGGTCCCTTCGACAACATGAAATCTCGGGAGTCGTAAGGTCGATCCGGGAGAGTATCCAGCCATCTGAACGTAGTCCCTTATGGGTAAAGTTTGTCGCGGCAACAACATACGTTTTTCTGGCCGTATGGGATATCTGGTGATGAAGTATGTCTGTCTTTCTCCGCTGCAGCACGATCTTACAACTGGACCTCGAGATATTATGACGGGAACAGTCGGAACGACTGGTATCGCATCGAAGACTTTCCCGCCACAGTAAGAGCGGCATCTGCAGATCAGATATTTTATAGCCTAGACAGTTTGATAGTCTTTCACCCCTATACCCAATTCCGACGAATGATCTGTTGCGTGCCCCCACCAGAGTTTCCCTCTGGCTGTGCCTTTCCTAGACGCAGATCACCATCTTTGGGCCCGAATGGCATGCTCACCCTCAAACCCTCCAACAACAGATCGTGGCTGGGGAACGGTGCACTTGCAGGAGGTCCCTGCTTCTCAGGATTCTGCTGCCTCGTGGGCTTTGCACCCACCGGCTCACCTGCACATTGACCCCTTCTGTCCGTGTTTGAAGACGGGTAGGATAAAGTAATTTCACTAGCATCAAGAACATGCAGGAACCCGAAAGGACCTTCCAATAAGGTTGCATGTTCAAGGTCTTTGACTGCCGTGATGGCTTCCCGTAGGGGGTTTCAATCGCTCCCCATTGCAATGCCGGTTACAACAACCCATACTGGCAGGCCACCCTACGTCCATCAAGGAAGGGTGGCGATGCATGTACCCCCCCCCCGTCCATGTGGGGAAACACGACTTCCCTCCATCCGCTCCTTGCTCAGTAATTTGAAGCACTCTTTAACTCTCGTTCACAGCTCTGTTCATCCTTCCCTCGCAGTACATTTGTGCTCCAACTAGCTTTATCCTGATACGAACTCACATCCGTAACTCAACAGTCCACGAACGTTGTCGAGCGCATCGGCCCCCGCCTTTTTGCAAAGCGCGGGAGCCCTCCCGGCCACGTCACGCAAGAGTTAAACGAAACAAAATCTCAAGAGACAACTTGGGACGATGCATAATAATCCAGCAGACCACCGAGACGGTGGAGGTCGCGTCGTTCCGTTCACCGCTCTAGCCGGGTGCGCCAGATGTACATCTCGCGGTCCCCTACGACAGGATAGGTTCTCGCGGGGCATAATCTCTCATTCCGTAAGGGGTTGTCACCACCCTCAGGGGCGTATCCCTATAGATACGCTTGGTTAACGTCATGCGGACTTGAACGTTGTCCGTTCCTAGGGCGTTGATCTCCTAGGTGTCGAGCAAACGTCAGTCGACTAGGATTACCTCAACCACGCGTGAAACCGCAATTCATCCTAGTCCCTCAAACACATAGTCAAAAGATAGTTAAAACATCCACCCATAATTACATCAAAAGAAATCGACCATAGTCGATAGAAACATATTCAATATTAAATGATAACTAAAAGAATTTAAATGATCATACAACACATTCAATAACACAATATCAAAACGAAATCCGACCATCTCAGGTCAAACACCACAAAACAATCAAAAAACCGCCAACATGAAGTTGGCTAAAAACAATAATATAGACGCAGCCGACAAGGTAGCCAGCTGCCTTAGCTTTGACTTGATGAGAAGCGTTGCCAAAGTCATTCATTTAAGCCTATTGTGGACCTAAGATTAGGCACGCACACATGGCTCCACACATTTCTAATATTCTCGGATGACAGGTTGCTTTGCGAATGATTCTTGATCAGGGGCATTGCTTGAAGTGTTGCATGCCTCTCTCTCTAGGAAATGGTCTAGGTTACTCCTCCTCGTCCGAGCACAGGACTCGGATCTCAGAACTCGGGACGTCTCCACCGAATCGGCAAAGTACCCTCCCGTAGAATGGTCCACTCTGAGTCGATAACAGGGTCGGTTCCTAAAGCAACGAACCCCCACCCCAGATGCTTCCTAGCGGAAGAGAATATATCCACTGCGAGTAACTTTCAGTTATTCTCGTTCCTAAGTTCAGGGTAACTTGGATGAAAATAAATCGGAGGAAATTAAGAATGGGAATCATTTGGACAGATACAGATAGATAAGGTCATTCGGGATAGAAAGGGTCAATCGTTGGGAGAAGACTAAGTCCGT